GTGCTGAACTGATGTTATTAAAAAAGAAAGCAGCTGCAGGGGGACATGGTAGGGATGCACACACTCAAGGCTATAGAACCATTGTTGCAGTGTTACATCTGAGCCAAGCCATTGTTAAGCTCCTCTAGTTACTTGCCTAAGAAAATGATACCAATATCAAAGCTAAATTGCTTGGGTGCAAAGCAAACCAGGACACTGAGAGAAGAACTGAAGAAGTATCTGAGACAAACATAGAAAGCAATGTGGTCAAGTTTTTCATAAAGGTTGTTGGGGGAAAAGTCAAGTAACTTTCCATACTGCCAGAAGTATTTTGATCTCACATCATAGAAGAGCCCATCTGGAAACTGGCGGAAGCACTGAGCACAAACGAAGCAGTTTTCATGATACAGCTCCCCATTGCTGTTCACAATGCGTTCAGTTGGATCAAAACGAGCTCGACAGCGTTCACACACAGCATTTGCAAGGGCATCTGACATGTTACTGGGGAGAAATCAAAATAAGAGTCAACTCATGGCCAATGGCATGATCATAGTGTGAAGTCATCAATGCTACCTAATTCAAATAAATCAACATAATGTTCAAAGTTCATGTTTATGTTCTGTCACATTGGAGGTATGAGCTATACAGTAGTTGAAGAGATATTTAATGGTTGTGATTTATTTATTTATTTCGTTCTACTTCTATGCCACCCTATAATCTGAGAGTTCTCTGGGTGGCTTACAAATGATGAAACCAGCACATAAATATACTGATGAAGTGCAGTGGTACCTTGGCTCATGAACTTAATCTGTTTCAGGACTCTGGTCGTGACCCAAATTGGTTGTGAGCCAAGTTAAATTTCCCCATAAGGTTCAATGTAAATAAGGTTATTTCATTCTGTAACTTTTTTTCAATCAGAAAAACCTGAAGCAAAGTGACAAAGAACAACAAAGATTGTGGCCACCTCCCCCCCTCCCCCCCAGCACGAACGTGATCGCACCCATCATCCCTGCATGTGCCCATCATCCTGGCACGCTGGAGGGTGGGAGAGACAGGCAGGAATGCGGGCGCACTGGGGAGGAGAGATGGGTGTGAACATGGGTGTGCTCGGGGGGGGGGGAGATGGCTGAGATCGTGGTTGTGCTGGTGCAGGAAAGATGGCCACAATCATGGTCACCCAATGCCCACTGGAAGTCACCACCCAATGCGGAGTTCTCGACCTGAGTCAAAATTTTTATGAAGTTTTTGTTTGCAACCCAATTTGGTCATGAACTGAGGCATTCGTGAGCCGAGGTACCACTGTATGATAATCAAATCCGCAGCATGTCAGGTAAGCTCAGTTTTCCACTAGATTGAGGAAGTATCTGCTATCTGTATAAATTGTCTATTTGACTCTACAGACTATTCACACTTAGCTGAGAGTGTGAGTACAAAAGCTTACTTTTCAGTAAGCATTTTACAGTTATGCCCCTGATGAAAGGTTTTTCTAGCCCAAAGCAAAAAATGAAAGGTTTTTCTAGCCGTACGTAAGTGAATGTGTTCCTTCTCTATAGTTGTCCCCACCAGGTATTAACAGAGGCCTTCTACACTAGCTGAACCTTCAAAATAATTATGAATGTCTCCAGCAAGTCACATCTGCAGCTATTAAACACTAAGTGTTGTGGACAATGAAAAGTAGAATGCACTAAAATGTCTTTAAATTTGGGTCAATTTGTTATACTTAGAGAAGACCCACTCAGATCAATGGTGTTTAAAATAGTAATGATGAATACAAGTTACAATAATTTTAATGGGTTTTCAAAAAGTATCATTGAGCCTGGATCCAGCTGTATGTATGTACATGTTTGTTTTTGTACATGTAACTATATTCAACTATATTATACCATATTATACATTGTATTAGCACTTTATGGAATATAATTTGTAATAATCAATTTCATTGCTTTAAAGTTTTCACCTTAGAATGAAATCTTGCTAAATGCCAATGAATTCAGTGAAAATCACAATAGAATGATTTAGGTACCAGTGTGGCAAAAGGACAATGATAGAAAATTTATGCAATTGGTTGCCCGCTTAAATTACCTTTAACATACAGTGAATGAAGGTAACAAGGCACCATGATAAGCACCTTAGAAAAGTCACTGTATAGTCTATACTGGAAAATTTGCATTGTAAGGATATATATATGAGGAAAAGATAAGGGAAAGAGAAGGTGTAGATGAAAAGGGAGAGGGAAAGGCCAGTAAAAAGAACTATAAATTCTTCTTGAATAGGATGATGGAGTTCATGAGAAGGATAGCAGAGGAATGTTCCAGTCAAATATGGCAGTCCAGGAAACCACAGGCAAGCTGGGGACAGAAGTGGAGACACATTTAGAAAGAAAACTGCTGGTTAATAAGTGAAGAAAATGAGGATATCTGGCAGCAGCTAATCTTACTGGCATTGTGCTAGAGAAGTTTACACTAGTTCAATGTAATTTCTGTTAGTACTGTAGTTGTTCCCTGTTGGATAGTGTCCAAGTAATACTATAATGGGGGCAGCAAGGGAGCAGAGTCACCAGGAGCAAGGTAAAATTGATTTATTCAAATCACGCTATTTGGTGATAAACCCTAAAAACTTCAGTCACAAAACTGCTAGAGAACTCTAGGTAGATGCCTCCTTCTTCTGAGTGAGAGGTTTTATGCTAGAAATATAATTTGCTGGATGATTATTGAAGGAATGCTTTATACAAGAAATGGCAGGGCACCAATGGACAAATAAAAGCCCCCAACAACAGTCAAATGATCTGTTTCTACACTGGGCTACATTTTTGTCTTCTGTTCCTTTTGACCTCAGAAACATTTCTGGATTCTAGCTTTACAGATCTTGAATTCATCTTGAATTCCCACCCATCCACCCACTTGCTATGATCTAAAAATGTCAAATGCTGGAGGGTTTATTATATTTAACACCAGAGTGACAGCAGGCTTTTCTAACTCATAGCAGGGAGTTACAAAATCAGACAATCTTATCCGTATGCAGAAGAAAATATAAAGAAACTGAGCAATTAACAGTAATTAGATAATAATAGATGTGGAGTACAGCATATTAGAATATCAAGTGTCCCATAAAAATGGATAAAAGGTAAATAAAGACATTCATCATTACAAATGCCATCATAATAACCAGAAGCACAAGTTACAATGCTCTAAGAAAGGCTTAAATGAATTCTGGTGCAGTCCTATGCATGTTTCAACAGAAAAAAGCCCCACAGCCCTCAGCTTGCCCCACATCAGGCATGCATACGTTAAACATACATAGGACTATTCCCTTCATCAATTTAACTTAGAAATCACTGAAGGTTTTTACAGTATCAGAAGCTGTTAAACTTTAAAAAACAAAAATGGTAACAGATCTGTGCAACAAGGTCTTTTACCTAGCCACTGAAAAACTGAAACGCAAACAAATTCACAGATGCCATTATACAATGTAAAATTATCTTACATACATACCTATTGAACCAATTTGCTCATAGCAACAATTTAACTTTGCCCCTTGTAAACAAAGTGTACAATTTGCTGATAGCAACAATTTAACCTTGTCCCTTGTAAACCCTACAAAATCTCTGTCAATTACTACTCCTGTCTTAACTATTCAGTCTTTTAATAAGTGGGTTATTTGATCCTTCATCAGTCCAAGACCTTCCTGCCCTCACTTCAACCTTCACAATATATCTAGTTGATAGTTACCTTCTACTTTGTAGCTAGTCAGCTTAGTCCCTTCTCTCTTGCCCTTCGAATTTTTTATTACATGACTGCTGCAGTCTGGACTGGCAGTAAGACGCACCAGTGGCTATCTTCCCTCAGACAGTGATACCATGGAATTAAGATGGCACTGGACTCTCTGAGGGCAGTCATGTTTATTAATCCACAAAGATGAGATGGGAGGCAGACACTCTCTCCAAAAAGGGCCACATGACATTCAACATTCCATGTCACTTCATGCAAGCTCAGACAGGTTTGCACATCTGAACCCAAGGGTGGTACAGCATATAAGACCATCCAGCATCTGTACTGCCACTGAATGTGTTCAGGGGAAACCCCAGAGTGATTGTCCTTGGAACTTGCCTTCTATAGGGAATATTCTGTGTTAGTCAGACTGCACTTGGAATACTAGGTCTTGCATTTTAAGATAGACACTCACAAAGTGGAGCATGCTCAGTGCTAGCTGACTAGGATGGTAAAGGGTCCAGAAACCAGCTCCTATGAAGAACAGTTGAAAAAACCAGGACAAGAAAAGATGACAGAAAAGTTCAAAATTCCTTGGGAAAAACAATGGGCAGAATAAATTGTTTCAATATAATTATATAGTGAAAGGACACTGTCAGAACAAGCTGGAAATGTGGCATAGTGTACTGGTATTTGGCAAACAAGTCCAAAATCTTCACTCATTTTTTTATATTAAGTAACATCCTGCCTTTTTCCTTTCAAGGAACTCAAGAGTGACTTACATGATTCAACTCCTCCTCCTCATAATCTTATCCTCACAACAACAAGCCCGTGAGGTAGGCTGGACTGAGAACCTGTGACTGGCCCAAAGCCTCCCAGTGAGCTCCATGGCTGGAGAGGAAACATTCCTCTTCTGGAATGTTTCTGAGGTCTTCTGAGTCCCAGTCCTGCACATTCTTAATCACTACACCACACTGCCTCTCTACATGAGGATGGGAACAACTTTGCTCTTTAAAAGTAAATGTTAAACTTGATCATATTACAAAACAGACAACAGCACAGTTCTTTTAAGAACCCTGAACTTCCACAGGGCAGCTTCTTCCATACTGCAAACATGTTTGTTGACCTACTCCTTTGGCAATATGGTCATCTTATATACATTGAATAGAGAGAAAAAGAAGAAAAACAGTAACTTAGAGAACTAGTCACAATATAGCTCAGTTACATTAAGTAAAGTATTAGTTTGTTCTAGAGGTTAATTGAAGTTCAATCAAAATTTAATATTTAAAATTAAAATATTAAATCAAAATTTAATAAGAATATGGAATAGACCTTTGTTTATATGGTTCTTACAACATCTTATTAGCCAGCACAGCATCACAAAGTGAGCAAAGGTTCCTGTGTCTGTTTTCCTGTTATTGTTCAGAAGTGATAATATCAGCATCAAAGAAACTGTTTCTTCAAACAAAGAGTGGAAATTCAAACCCAGTAGTTTCAGCCTGTTTAGTTTTCCATGCTTCCTGCTTCAGAGGAAGCCAAAGGAAACTTTCCAACAGTGGGAGATTATTAATCTAACAGAGGTTTCCCATATCACCTACCCAAATATCCCAGCTGCCCTCTCTTTCCCATCATTCAGGAGTGACACAGTACCACTGAGACGATCTTGCCGACGTTGATAGAGTTTGGAAGATGCTAGCCCCTGAAGTCTCATGCCAGTCATGGAATTCATTTTCTCTGGAAAGAAGACTGTATGCAGATAATTGAAGAGCAATCCTCCAGCAACACTGAAGTTTC